GTCACATGAATGGACGAAATTTTCGATTCCAAAAGGATCCAAGCTATGCGCATCCATATCACATCATATCACTATGAGCCCTTCAAAGGCCCTGACGGATTGTTGTCACCTCGCATGGTGTCGTCATCTGCATTCCACCTTAGACCAGACTGCCAATGTCTAACCGAGAAAACCACACCTCACGGCTTTTGCCGGTGGAGTTTTCTGTCACACGGTCATCAAGTCTGGGGATTCAACTCGAAGTTGAAGATATTTCTGAACTTCTCGGAAGGCTTCTGCATCTTCTTCTTGTTCTCCTGACAAAGGGCTAACCGGCTAACATAGAATATCTCTGCTACAAAGCTAAAGAGTTGTCCTCAAACAAGAATCAAAGTTGTTTTGGATATCTAGGAATTTGTGCTATTAGAAACATGACCAAAGGCACAACGAGTTCAAGCACTGGACCAGCCGCAGGCTTCCAAGCAGCTTCAAATCTGCACATGGGTCAAACGGTCAGACCATGTTCAGCTGTGTCCACGCCTTCATGCCCAGGTAGTGTCTCTTGATGAGCTCCAGCTCCTACAGTGACTGCAAGCAGCTTAGCATAGCTTAGCATAGCTTAGCTATGCCATCGTCAAATCTTCTGCGAGTATCACTGGAAGTTGGCCGAAGCTGATGCCTTCTCTGCCTGTCGCTCTCGTCTCTCTTGATCTGGCAGCTTCCTTGGAGTGTGGGAGACTTTTCGGGGGATTTTCGGTTCAGGCTCCAGGGAGATCATCCAAGATCCAGGACTTGATTGGAATAAGATATGGTTGATTCAATTGGAATATCATATTGGAATAAGATCATCTTGGATATCAACCATATTGGGATATCACAAGATCTTGGACAGTTTGATTCCTTTGATGGTTGTGTTCCCAAGTGTTTCAAGCATCCTGTTTCCAAATTTTCTGCCGAGCTGCAGCAAATTCATCTCTGCCAAAGAACTGGTCTGCATCAAGCCTTCCTGGGGGTTTGGTCCCAGAAACCCGTGGCGTTTCGGACTCCCTGCTGCTGTTCGGCCATTGAAACATCTACCCAAAATGGTGATATCACTGGTATTTGTGGCATCTATCATGGTACCCAACGGAAGAATGCTACCCGAACCCCAGAACCCCAGAACCCCAGAACCTGCACCACCTTTCAAAGGAGACTAACAAAAATCAACCAACGAAAATCTGAATCAACAAAAACAATCTACAAGTTATTTTTGCAAAGTAGGAATAGTAATGAGCCAATGAGAATTGCTGAAATTGACCTGAAAACTCAAGGGCATCTTGTCTTTGGTTTGATATGTTTGATATGTTTAACGAATAGTGTCGCACCAAAACTCTGCTGCCATTCCAACTTCCGGTCCTTCTCTTCCCTTTGCTTCAGCCTTTCCTTTTCGCGCTCCTCGCGTTCACGCTGTCGCCTAACACAAGTGCAACTCCATACAGCTTCAACTGTTTCAAAAGCATTTTGCACTCCAAAAATCAACAAAAATCAACAAATTCAACAGGCAGTTCTTAGGCAAAGGTAGCACCATGGTAGCACCATGGTAGCACCATGGTAGCACCATGGTAGCACCCAATGGTAGCACCATGGTAGCACCATGGTAGTAGTTGAGGCATTGGCTCTTCTTCTCGTCGCTTTCGTTCCTTCTCACGCTCTTCACGCTCTCGCTGACCTGAACGTTGGCGAGCCATGGCCCGGGTCTTATTTTGGATGGCGGAACCCATGGAAAGCCATTGGAAACCCATTGGAAACCCATTGGAAAGCCATGGAAACCGCCACAGGCTTTGAAGGATCCAATGCTCTCAGGTTCCAACGCTCGCGCTCGCGCTCAATCTCCTCTTGCAGAAGGAAGTCCTGCAGAAAACGGGACAGCTGAATACAACAAATACCATGGAGCTTGGAACCCAAACTCTCGTGGTCCCAAAAAAATGTTCCTCAGAAACATGGCAGGGTTGACACATGTTGACACATGTTGACACATGTTGACACCTCATGAATCCCTGGCTCTGCAAGGTGTCCATAGCAGAAGCAAGTGGCAAAAGGATGCAAAAGGATGCAAAAAGCATATCTCAAGTACATCACCATGCATCACCATGCATGGTGCCATGCATCACCATGCATCACCATGCATCACCATGCATCACCATGCATCACCATTTTTCTGCACATTCATCTGTACAGCTGCAACACCGAGTGAGCCACATCTGCTTTGCAGCCGGCTTCCCAGTCTCAGCTTTCAGATCGAGCTAAAACAGCGGGAAAAAATCGTCAAGGAGAACTGTACTCTCCGAAGGTTTCTTGTTCTGTACTCTTCAGAAGCCTCAACGATTGGCGCTGTTGCTGTCGCTCCTTTGCTACTAGCCTGCGCTTCAAACGACGGGTCTCGGTGCAGCGAACAGCTTCCCAACAGTCCCAAACCACTTCGCCAGTCTCTGGGATGTAGACTTGACCCTTGCTGCCACCCCGTGAAGCTGCCTTTGCATGTACTTGGTCTGGAGAAAATGTTTCAGAAGAGTTGGCCGGTTGAGCAATGAAAAGCGGTGCTACCCGCTCTTCTTTGAAGATAACTCGTGCTCCTCCAACCACTTTGATCTCATCGTTCTTTCGGAATTCCGTGCAGGCATAAACTGGAGCTGGTGCAGCGGCTACAACAGGAGCAGCAGGTCGATGATGATTTCGATGGCCACTTTTCAACGGTGCTGTCACTGTAGCTGCCTTGGGTGCAGCTACTGCCACTCGTGGTCTGGGTGGGGCATCAGGGTCAAGGACTCCACAAATCAACCTTGGAGGTCATGGTGCGCCGATCCATACGGTATACTATACTATCAACCCTGGATAAAACCCTAGGCTCTTTAATTGAGAGAATACCATTTCACGATCAGATCATCACTATTCGTGGAGTACCACCCCTAATAAATAGAAATAGACCATGCTGACCATTAATCCCGGGTTGACATTACAGTAGTGCAACACCAAAAACTGAGGCCAGCACATGTTCGGAGTGTCACTGAAGCCTTTTGAGAGCCAAAGATTTCCTGCAACTGATGGGTTCAATGGTGCTTCAAATCATTTCAAATCTCACCGAACACCGAAGAATTCCGAAGAATCACTGAGCATGGCATTTTTGGATATTTTTGGATGATATCTGTGCAGCCCACCTGGCATCCCAGTGTAGATGCCCACCCCATGGGCAGAACCGTTGGCGACTCTCACACCACTTTTCTGGCCAGGGACCTTCAAACCTGTGCTGAGAATGGAGGGAATGTTGGCCACCTTGGTTCCATGATAGCCATAGTCTGGCACGGCTGAGGTTTCCTTCTGTTCCTTCACGAACTGCTCCTCGAAACAGGTGGATTCATCATGTTCAATGAAATCATCAATTAAAAATGGAGACATGGTATTGAATTATATTGAATATATATATATTATATATATATATATTGAATTGATGGAAAAACATGGTATTGAACCCCAAATCTAAGGGGATCCCAACGATACATTCTTCACCTTTGCCGGGATCGAGATGTTGCTTCCGGTCCTTGATGCCAGGTGCTACTTCTGCCGGTGTCAACTTGTATCCCTTTCCCAGTTCGGCATGAAGGTTTCCAGCATATTGTTCCAGAAACTGCTGTCGCATCTCATCAAAGGCCGCATATTTGGATGTCTTGGCAGCTGTCTGGTAGTCATCAGGTCCCCACTCTTCCATGATCTCCTCCCTGGCAGCCTTCAGGGCTCGATCCTTCACTTCGATTTCAGCATCGCTGGGAATGCGCTGCCGAAGCAAGTGCTGATCAACATGCCAATAACAGTAGAAGTCCTCCTTTTGGGATCCACGTTTGATGACTTCACAGCCGCGGGAGAGGATTGGATCCTCCATGGCCTTTTGGTGCGCGGCATTTTCCATCTGATCCCAGTAATCCGTTTCCGTTCGTTCCATGCCTTCACCAATGCCTTCACCAATGGGAGCCAAAGCAGCATGAAGCACAGCCATCCCAAGGCGAACAGTCTGTGCCGTCTGTGCCTGTGATGTCTGTGCTCGCTGGGTTTCTGTCTGTGTCACCGGTGTACTCAGGGCTTTGTTCATTTTGTTCAACTTCGGCTTGGCGAAATACGCCACGTATTTCTCACTGATGGCTTTGGCCACTGCGGCGCCATTCCTCAACTCATCTCGTTTGGTGGGGGGCAACATCAAAGCTGCGGCCAAATCATCCGCATTTTCCACGAGTTCCATGACATCACAAGCACCTTGTTCTTCACACCATTTCCTCACTGGCTCGAAATAGGCCAACAGAGTCATACTTTGGAGAAACTCCACCAGCCCTGGAAGCCCTGGAAGGCTGACTTGGGATCCTCCATGTCCATGTGATCCATGATGGACTCCACCTGCCGAAAGGTCGCCGTTGTCACCGAAAGGTCCCACCGTGCTGTGCCGCAGCAGCACGGTGCGGCACGGATATCCCACGGGCACATAGGGTGCAGGCACTATTCGACGAGCCGCCATGGATATGGAAATCACAGAAATCACAGAATGTTTACCCCCCTAAAAATGTGTCTTCGACACTGTTGGCATGAGTGCTTCAATATGCTTCAATGTTGTGTTCAGCTTGGCATCAATAACTTGACACGAAGAGTCGAGGGCGGGAAGGCAAACAGCGGCTCAACATGGCTTAAAATGAAAGAGACTGTTCAAATCTGTTCAAATCTTTTCAACTTTCCAAGCTTTTGCAGCAGTTTCACATGTTTCACCAGCGTTTCACCACGTGTTTCACCTTCTCGCAAGCAATACTTTGGAATTCACCAAGTTTGGTCCTTTCTTCGCTTCGAGGCCTCTTCGGCCTGCCGAGTGAGTTGGGACAGCACACAGCTTACCTACAGCTGAATCCTACAGCTTACCTACAGCTTACCTACAGCTTACCTACAGCTTACCTACAGCTTAGCATATCGACTGACCTAGGCAATCATGGCAAATCGAGATTTGGCGCATTTCAGCTGAAATCGACTTGAAACTCATTGAAATTGCTGAACTGTTGGCAGCTGAGAGTGGCTTTGCAGTCTCGGTCCTTCTTCTTCTGCTCAGCCTTTTGCTTGTCTGCTTCTTTTACAGCATTCCTCGGAGATCGGATCGAGAAACTACTGGGATCCTAAAATGGGAACCGAAAAAAACCATGATATACTCCTCAAACAACCATCAAATCATCAAATCAATGGGGAACATCAGCAGTATCCATTTTTGTTTTTTGATTTTCCTCCAAGGGCTTCACTTTTCACGGTCGTTCTTGGACACAAATTTCAGCTTGGGCGCCTTCAGGAGTTAACATCCACACATTTCAAATCTGCTATAATCTGCTATAAAACAAAAACATCTATCTTTTGACTGTTACTATATCATCTATCTATCCTATCCTCTCCTATCCTATCGAATCTATCTAATCTTTCCTATCTAATCTATCTATCTATCTTCTGTCCAAATTTGGCATTGCTGGTGCCTTGTTCTCCTCCTTGCGCTTGGCTAAGACCTGCTCCAGCGACATGACTTCGCCCTTGGAATCGCCGTCGCCCTTCTGTCGCTTGGCATCGGCCTGGGGGCCTGAGCAACAACGATCCATGGGAGATCCATGGAGAAATTTCTGGGGAAAATGATATAGGATACCATGGAGAATACCCTCTGGTTCATGGAGAATACCATGGAGAATACCATTTCAATACCTGGATATATAACTGGTTGGTGGTGCAATAACCCTCTGGTTATGTCAACAGTTTGCTATTGAAAATGGCCCAGTCGAAATAGTGAGTTTTCCCATTGATAGCATGGTGGATCTTTCCATAGTTATGTGGCTGTTTACCAGAGGGTATATAATAAGGGATAATCTTCCATCTGGGGAACTATGGGAAAATGATGATATGCGGGATGGACCAACACAACTAGTGATAAGGATATTCGAGAATCTTAGAACACCGTGGAGAAATGAAGATTTTGATTATAAGTTTGATAAATCTGTTGAACTATGTTAATTAATCCGTGAACCAATCTGCAAACTGGTTTCAATAAAAAATCTGAAATGATAAAGAAATGATACCCTGCTAGCTGAGTGCTGGTCCATCACTCTTTCTTTTTGCGTCCTGCATCAACAAAGAAAGGGACTTGGCGACCACATGGACTGCAAGTGCTAGTCCTCGGCAACCATTCTGCGTAACGGTTTGACCTGCAGGTTCATATCCACAATATCTGTCACTGCAGCCACCGAACATCTACAACTCATATTCGGCTTTAGGCATGTTTCTCATCATTTTTCACATCATTTTCCCCAGTCGAACATATCATCATTTTTTTCATCATGTTCACATCATGTTCCATCATTTCCCCATCATTTTCTCAGCATTTTCACATCATTTCATTTTCCATCATTCCACCATTTTCACATCATTTTCCATCATTTTTCCATCATTTTCACATCGTTTTCCCATCATTTTCACATCATTTCCCCATCATTTTTCCATCATGCTCACATCATTTTCCATCATTTTCCCATCATTTTCACATCGTTTTCCCATCATTTTCACATCATTTCCCCATCATTTTTCCATCATGCTCACATCATTTTCCATCATTTTTCCATCATTTTCACATCGTTTTCCCATGTATTTTGCAATTTGCAGACACACCTCAAGTCGTGGTGCCCCTCGCCAAGCCTCTGCACCGTGTCACCCGTGCCCTCTGCACGGCCACGGCGATGCTGAGCCAAAATGATGTGGCCAGTGAGATAGACATCTGAGAAACATCGAAGAGTATGATGAAATCATGTAATCACATGTGGTCTAGCCAAAAGTTCCCTGCAGCTGATGATGGAATTCCACCATCCTGCTAGGAAAGAAATAATTAATTAGGTTCAGATGCAAAAAGCTCCGATCCCCGTGGTGATCACATGCAATCATAGATTATAATAGGCTTATAATAGGCTTATAGGATCTGGGATATTGTTGAAACATAGCTTTCTAGTATTGAAACATAGCTTTCTAATTCTCTAGGATATATGTTGAATGTTGAGGGATTTTGCAGGATTCTAGTGTCACGCCTACCAAATCCTACACCTTCATGCTGAACCCCCGTTGATCCCACAAGTTCTTTCTAATCTGCCGGATCTGCATCGGATCTACATTTGTAGACACGAGAACCACGGCGAAGTCGCCGAACCCGTGGGCTTAAAAATCCCCACCGTCCCCTCTTCAAGGGCGCGGCTGAGATTCCGTCGGCCACAAGCGCTGCAACCGAAAGGAAAATGATGCACCAGTCCCAGCGGAAGGGACTTGGGCATGCTGGGCATGTTGCAAATTCGCTGCATGCTGTAGCTATGCTGTAGCTAGTTCTCGGCTCCTTGACATCCTTGACTACAGATACAACATGATACAACGTATGAACCAAACAGGTACAGTCCAGCTTCAAAGCCACTACATTTCGCCACGAGAAGCCCCTTGGGAATGTCACTGGTGACTGATGAAGCTCTAAAACGCTCGACTCTGTGCTTCATCGGCTTAATCATCTTCGAAGAATTTGTTGAGATTGCTGCCTCAGCCGGGTATCAAAGCCTCCTGTTTCAGTTTAGAAAGATGTGAAGGATTGTGAATGATTGTGAAGGTCATTGGTGCTACATGGTGCTACATGGTGCTACATGGTGCTACATGGTGCTACATGGTGCTACATGGTGCTACATGGTACACCAAGGTGCTACACATTCTCCACATTTCTCATGGCCTCATGGCACTCTGGGAGGTCAATTTTAGTGGACCTCCATTTCTAAGGCCCCGCACCATCTGATGCCGGGCTGAGGTCGACTTGCAACCTGGAATTTCACTGGATTTAAGAGCTCGAATGTTGAATGTTTCATCCCGGCTGGTCCATGGAAAAAATATGGAAAAAATGAGATTTCTGGATGATGTTCCCATAGAAAAATGACTTTGGCATTTTCATATGTCTCCAGACATTTTGAAACAGTTTGGTTCACGGCTGAGTGCCCAACCCTTTGCCAGAGACAGCCTTCTGCAGGTGGTGCAGCCGGTGCCCAATCTCCTGCAGACATTGAAACTGGCCTTTTGGTGGTGAAAGAACAGGTCTTCATGGTCTGTTGGAATATGTTGGAATATCTTGGAATATGTTGGAATGTTGATTGAACTGATTGTCCGGCATTTTCCAAGATCTATGTTGGTAGCCTTTAAACATACTGCTGATAGTCTCCCAAAATTGGATGGACAGTTCTACGATGACCAATTTGCTTCGTAACCCCGCCTTGGTACCCATGCGACCGGGCGGGCTGCGTCCAACTTTCGGCGTGGATGCAACAAGGGCTTCCCTTTCCTGCCGGCCCAATGACATGGGTTTCCCTGAAAAACTGAAAAACAACCATTTTACTGAAATCCAGTAGCTGGTTATCCTACTTTTCACCATTTTTCACCATTCAGATTGTTCTTTGGGAATCAATCCCCCGTTTTTAGATACACCCAAAAACCAGTCAGTCAAAATCACATCAAATCTTCACATCAAATCTATGCGTTGGAAGATTTTTTTTTTGCTGCATACCAATGCCGCATGAGAGTTATGTAGAACTATTTTCGAAATTTATTGCAGATCTCACCTGCTAAAATCTAAAATAGTTTGATAAATAGAGATCAAATAAATCCTGAATTCTTGGGGTCCAAAAAAAGATGAGCAGCCCATCAGTTGCGCAGTTTTCATCCAACAGCTACAGGCCTCCCTGTTCGGAAAGGTGGCTTTGCACACCACCTGAACGATGTCAACTGCCTCCAACTGAGATCCTGAAAATTCCTGGAATTTCCTCTAAACATATCTAAAGTATTCTAAAGTATTCTTTCTAGTCAACAGCATCTTGGACTCTGCACTTTCATCACTTTCCCATTTGCCAATGATGCCAATGTTTGTGACTTTTTTAGTGGCTACTGGCTACTCGCATCTTTCACTTTCTCGAAAAAGTCTCACTATGCCTCGCAGAAATCGTGGAGGTGAACAGAGGCCTTCACAGTGCCACATCCCGAAGCAAAACGAAAAAAGTGTCCGCAGCGTCACGACCACCACACCTGCGCTGTCCCAGAGACTCTGCCAATCATATCCTGGTAGCGAATGGAGGTGGCATCAACATCTGGCAACAACTCGTGGTGCACAGTTCAACACAAACCATGATGTAGGATGGAACATGAACTATATTTGAATCCATTAGGAATCCAACATTTATGATGGTTGATGATCATTTTTTTGAATACTTTTGACACCACCAACCAGTCATTTTTCGAATCAGTTGCATCCATTTTGTTGCAGGTTCTGCGACGCGAACAAAAAGGAGTCCTTCACTTCGTCATCAGAGAAGCTAACTGGAGTGATCTCTCGAAAGGCTGCCTCAATGGAAAGGTGATGGAAACTGGGGAACAATTGGGGCCTTTTTCTGATGTGCAAAAAAAACCTTCGGGGTTTTTAGATTCGAAGAAACATGGCGGTTTCGTGGGAGTTGATTTGGGATGGGGAATTTGCCCAACTCATTGGATACCCAGCATGCCATCCCCCTTTAGATCCAACATTTTCCACCAAGGTTTCGTTTTCGGAGTATCTGAGAGTCTGCGGGGATTGACACAGAACTCAGCAGAATTCAGAAGAAATTCGATATATTTCAGCTGCATTTCAGCTGCACATTTCCAGGCACTTTTCCCTCACCTCTAAGGTGTCGATATGGATAGATTGTGCATCCCCAGCGAAGTAGCGAAAGGCGCACCTTTGCAGTTCCAAATTTCCAACAGATCCAACAGGCTCAACGCAGTGCCATGAGATCTGAGCCGATCTGAGCCGATGACTCCAAATCACCAACCGCTCGCAGTCGATCTGTGCGCAGCGATGCCTCGTAGGTTCTTAGGAAATCCTCGAAGCTGATCCTCAGCTGAGCCCCGACATCGGGTCCCCTGGAGATGGGAACATGAGCCCCACTCAGCCCCACTCATTGGGATAGGGATCCAATGGATCCAACATTCATGAGATGGTCCATTGAGTCCATGGAGTCCATGGAGTCTATGGCGAGTTTATAAATTTACGAGATCGAACCTGACAATGGTCATCGGCGCCGCGGGAAAATCTCGAATCTCGGATCTCGAATCTCGGATCTCGGATCTCGAAGCTCGAAGCTCGTAGCTCGGATCTCGGATCTCGGATCTTGCATCTCGGATCTCGGATCTCGAATCTCGAATCTCGGATCTCGAATCTCGGATCTCGGATCTCGGATCTCGGATCTCGGATCTCGGATCTCGGATCTCGAAGCTCGAAGCTCGTAGCTCGGATCTCGGATCTCGGATCTCGGATCTCGAATCTCGGATCTCGGATCTCGAAGCTCGAAGCTCGTAGCTCGTAGCTCGGATTTCGGATCTCGGATCTGGGATCTCGAATCTCGGATCTCGGATCTCGGATCTCGAAGCTCGAAGCTCGTAGCTCGGATCTCGGATCTCGGATCTCGGATCTCGGATCTCGGATCTCGGATCTCGGATCTCGAATCTCGAATCTCGGATCTCGAATCTCGGATCTCGGATCTCGGATCTCGAAGCTCGAAGCTCGAAGCTCGTAGCTCGGATCTCGGATCTCGGATCTTGCATCTCAGATCTCGGATCTCGAATCTCGAATCTCGAATCTCGGATCTCGGATCTCGGATCTCGGATCTCGGATCTCGGATCTCGAATCTCGGATCTCGGATCTCGGATCTCGAAGCTCGAAGCATCTCGGATCTCGAATCTCGGATCTCGGATCTCGAAGCTCGAAGCTCGTAGCTCGTAGCTCGGATCTCGGATCTCGGATCTGGGATCTCGAATCTCGGATCTCGGATCTCGGATCTCGAAGCTCGAAGCTCGTAGCTCGGATCTCGGATCTCGGATCTCGGATCTCGAATCTCGGATCTTGCATCTCGGATCTCGGATCTCGAATCTCGAATCTCGGATCTCGGATCTCGGATCTCGGATCTCGAATCTCGAATCTCGGATCTCGTATCTCGGATCTCGGATCTCGGATCTCGGATCTCGTAGCTCGGATCTCGGATCTCGGATCTCGGATCTCGAATCTCGGATCTTGCATCTCGGATCTCGGATCTCGAATCTCGAATCTCGGATCTCGGATCTCGGATCTCGAATCTCGAATCTCGGATCTCGAATCTCGAATCTCGAATCTCGGATCTCGGATCTCGGATCTCGGATCTCGGATCTCGAATCTCGGATCTCGGATCTCGGATCTCGGATCTCAGATCTCGGATCTCGGATCTCGTATCTCGAATCTCGAATCTCGGATCTCGAATCTCGAATCTCGGATCTCGGATCTCGGATCTCGGATCTCGAATCTCGAATCTCGGATCTCGGATCTCGAAGCTCGAAGCTCGTAGCTCGGATCTCGGATCTCGGATCTCGGATCTCGGATCTCGAATCTCGGATCTCGGATCTCGAATCTCGGATCTCGGATCTCGGATCTCGAAGCTCGAAGCTCGTAGCTCGGATCTCGGATCTCGGATCTCGGATCTCGAATCTCGGATCTCGGATCTCGGATCTCGAAGCTCGAAGCTCGTAGCTCGGATCTCGGATCTCGGATCTCGAATCTCGGATCTCGGATCTCGAAGCTCGAAGCTCGTAGCTCGGATCTCGGATCTCGGATCTCGAATCTCGGATCTCGGATCTCGGATCTCGGATCTCGAATCTCGAATCTCGGATCTCGTCTCTCGAATCTCGGATCTCGGATCTCGGATCTCGTAGCTCGGATCTCGGATCTCGGATCTCGGATCTCGAATCTCGAATCTCGGATCTTGCATCTCGGATCTCGGATCTCGAATCTTGAATCTCGGATCTCGGATCTCGGATCTCGGATCTCGGATCTCGGATCTCGAATCTCGAATCTCGGATCTCGGATCTCGGATCTCGGATCTCGGATCTCGGATCTCGGATCTCGAATCTCGGATCTCGAATCTCGGAAGTTGGATTTTAGATCTGGGATCTCGAATCTGAACTTGCCGAAGAGATACCAGTTTTTAGATTCTGCAAGTTCCCTTGGCGAAGATCTTTGTCTGTAGGACATCGTGTGCAAGATGTTCGTGACAGCTTCTGTAGAAGCTGCTGTGCAAGATCCATCCCTTTGCAAGGTTTAAGGCTATTTGTACAAGGTGTCTACAAGAGATCTCCACGCAAGATGTCTGTAAATGTCTGTAGGAGATCTCTAAGTAAGATCTCTGCTCAAGCTCTCTAATCTAGAGGAGATCTCTTAGCAAGATCTCTGTTTTCTGCACAAGGCCTCCGTACAAGATCTTTACAGACTTTACAAGAGGTCGTCTCTTGGCAAGACCTCGTACAAGCTCTCTGAACAACATATCTCGACAAGCTATCTCGACAAGCTCTGTTTACGAGATCTAATGGCAATATCTTTATAAGTGGTCTCCTGGCAAGATCTCTGCACAAGATCTCTATAGGATATCGCTTGGCAAGATCTATGTATGAAATCTCTGTACAAACTCTCTTTGGAAGCTTTTTTTGGCAAGATCTATGTAAGAGACCTCATGGCAAGATCTCTGGACAAGCTCCCCATGTGAGGTCTCTTGGCAAGATTTCTGAAAGAGATCTCTGTACAAGCTCTCTATAAGAGCTCTCTTGACAAGCTCTTGCCCCCAAAGGCTCACACCTGCTACGAAAAATGGACATAGATTCAACAAAAGTAACACGCCTGCTCAGTACTCGAATGAAAATCTTCTTGCCTGATCTACAGACATTTCTCTCCTGTCTTTCTCTTTGGTACACACAGTCCCAGAAGCGCCATCAAGTGTGAGTGCATCAAGTGTGTGTGTGTGTGCGTGCAGGTGCCAGAGAAGATCCTACAGAGTAGCATCATGCGTGTGCAAGTGCACGAGAAGATCCTACAGCGTAACATCAAGTGTGCGTGTGCGTGTGTGTGTGTGTGTCTGTGTGTCTGTGTGTCTGTGTGTCTGTGTGTCTGTGTCTGTGTCTGTGTCTGTGGGGGCAAGTGCCAGGAAAGATCCTACAGCGTAGCCTCATATGTGTGCGCGTGTGCAAGTGCCAGAGAAGATCCTACAGCGTAGCCTCATGCGTGTGCAAGTGCACGAGAAGATCCTACAGTGTAACATCATGTGTGTGTGTGTATGTGTGTGTCTGTGTCTGTGTGTGTGCAAGTGCCAGAAAAGATACTACAGCGTAGCCTCATATGTGTGCGCTTGTGTAAGTGCCAGAGAAGATCCTACAGCGTAGCCTCATGCGTGTGCGCGTCTGCAAGTGGCAGAGTCGAAGATGCTACAGTGTAGCCTCATGTGTGTGCGTGTATGCAAGTGCCAGAGAAGATCCTACAGAGTAGCATCAAGCGTGTGTGTGTGTGTGTGTACAAGTGCCAGAGAAGATCCAAGAAAAAACAAGCACGTGACACCAAAAACAGCACTGCGCGCCGGTAAAACTAGACCTTCGGAAGAGAGCCTTCTGGGGACACCATTTTCGTGCGAGATTCTGTCGAGAACAGGAGATCGAAGAACTTTGGTGCTGTAAGGGTCGCCAAAGTTGCCGGACACCCCGGAGACCACCTTGAATGAACACCAGGCCTTAACCATTAGCATAAGAACTTGAAGTGTGGCCATATACTGTTTAGGGTAACCCATACCAGATCCATCAGAATCATCACCATTAATTCAGGGCCAAAGGTACTCTTGCCCAATCCTTGTTAGCTCCAGCCAGAATGTGAGCCCAGTAGCATAGGGCGGTGGCGGTGGCCCTTTGAAGTGGCCTGCAGGTGGGAAGCAATGCGGCATCAGACCCAACTGGCGACATGCACCACGCTCTTAACATGCTGCAGCTGAACAAGCAGCAGAAGTAAATGCGGCACAAGCGTGCTGGGTGAATGAGAAAGTGGCAGGGCAGATTGCAGGAGCCAAGTTTGCATTTTGTCACGATGCGGTGAAGAATGCGACTTTGTCTAGGATGCCCTCACTCTGCGTGTCCTTTGAAGCCTTCTGCGCACAATGCCATGCACTCCTGGAACTTACACTCTTCGAAAACTGCTGCAGTGTCTCTTTTTCCCAACTGCACTGTGACCTTCTGCTTGTCTCCAGGCTTCAAGATGCCAACCTTCTCCAACTCAATGACGATGGAATCGCGATTTTCCTGAGGAACCTTCACAAGGTCAAAGCTGTTCGTTTTGTTTGGCGTCGGCACAGCTAGCGTAGCTGAAATCAAAAGCTTTGTGACTTTGGCAGCCAGCACATAAGATTTTTCTGTTGTTGGATGAACCTCTCGCACTTTTTCATTCAAGCGCCATTGCGGCATAGAATGGTTCTTCTGCTTGAGGACCCAAGCCAGCATCTTCGTCATCGTGTCTTTGTGATTGCGCAGGTCAGCGACTTGGAGAGGTTCGTCTTTCAGCCGCTTCGCCGGCGGCTCATCATCACTGGCCTCAGGATTTCCAAGGGCAACCTGTGTCAACACATGCTGTTCTTCCGGCTTCTTGTGCGGAGAAGTTGCGACAGCTTGTGATGCACCAGGATCAGGTTGCGAAGGCGGAATGTCGGCGTGCACAGCAAGAGCCTGAATGTCAGGCAGCTTGTCAATGGCAATCGGGAAGCCTTTCAGAAGTTTGACCAATGCTTGACACACAGTGTCTGCATTGTCCTGGTCAAGGTTGGGAAGAGGCCCTTCATTGAAAGGAACGGCAGCGCGCAACTCCTGAAAAGAGACTTCTGGGGAGAACAGTTGCAGCCGGTTGGCCGCCAACATGAAGTTGGGATCATCTTCTGCGTACTTTACCTTTGCCCAGTTTCCATGGCCGATGGCAATGAAGCCAATCAGGGCGAGAAGGATGAGGTCGCAGTGCTTGGCATAGACTTCGGCATCCGTGTTGCTGGCATCGAAGACAAAGCGTTTGTAGGTAACCCTGTCCATGGTCAGAAAGGTGTTGCCGGGGTCAATCAATGTGGCAGCAGCCTGTCAAAGGAAGGAGGACACGGGCTTTACCCAAATCCCCTCTAGCACCCAGTGGTAACAGTTATAGAAACTTAAGATGCACAGAATTCATCACACTCTTAAAGCACGACGAATGAAAAACCCAACCGCCCAACCGCCTTTTGCAGCTTCTCAGCAAATGCTTGGGCGCTCGGCTGCGGCAAGTCCGTCTTAATAAGACGGTCTTTTCGAAATTCGTCCAGCTTTTGAGCAGCGTTCGTGCTGAAGTGGTAGACAGATTGGAACCACCTGGAAAGAGAGAATGCTGCATCAACGGATTGCTGGGTAGCACATGGAGGCACGGAGCTTGGCAGAAAATCACTGAAGAAAACATCTGGATTTACCGCGGCCACTTTCCGCACCATGTCTTCTGGGGAAAGGTTCTGCCATTGATCAGCGGGGACGCTTGCCAAGGACAAGAGGTGGAGCAAGCCTTGCTCAAAGATGTGGATGCCTGGGATGAACTGAAGGGGCCTGGTCTTGTCTTTGCTGAGAAGTGCTGCCTTGGCATCGCCTGCTTTCTTGGCCTTACGGTAATCATCCACCATCTCATTGAAGTCTTGTTGGAAACTGCTAACAACGCCCTCTGCAAACTCCATGGTGTGAATTCCTCGGATCTCGGAGTACCTGCTTGCGGCAGGCCCTACTTCATCGTCTCTCCGACGCTGATAAGGAAAAGCCGCATCAGCAAGCAAGAGCAAGTTGGTTGCAGCCTTGACAATCTCATCATAAGAAAGGTCATTGAAATAATTGGGGTCTTCGAGGAGCAAGTTTTGCATTTCCTGGGCAGACAAGTTCTCTGGGCAGACCTTGCTGCAGACTGATGAGAAATGACCGATCAAGAAGCGTGGGAGTCCCGCAACGCTGTCGCCTTTCTTCCCAATGTCCAGCAACTCTTCGAGGTGCATCAGGACAGCGCCCACAACATGCGGGTTTCGCACATGAAAGCGAGACTGTCCTGTGGCGGGGTTGTACATTGTAGATGTCGTGGTCGAGAATTTGGTTCAAATCCTCCAAGCCTCCGCCTTTGGCATGTTCGAACGCTTCAGAAAGCCAAGACTTGCCTTTCATGCAAGGCCAGGAATGCATGCCCACCTTGCTTCTCGAGGAGGCATCCCAATCCTTGGTCGCAAAGTGAGCAAAACATGGTTATACATGGTTGTATTTTTTGTGGCGGTGAAGAGTTAGCAGGATCTCTGCTCGCAGAAGTTCATTGAAGCATGCTTAGAGTAACATTCATTACATTGCAGAAGTTCACAAGGTTCCTCTGAAGCAATACTTGTTTCTAGCAGCAGTCAGAAGGAGAGACATGAAACGGTAAAAAAAATGAAACAAAACACAAGGCAGCCCAAGCGTCCATAGAAAGTTCCTTTGTTCTGCACAGAATCTCGTTTTTCTGGCTTGGTTGGTGGAACTGGCTCTTCAGCTTCAGGGTCATTGATTGCAAGCGCTCCTTCGTAAGCCCGCTTTGCTTCTTCATAGCGGCGCGAGTCGATGCGATGCCTGGCAGCATCATGCTTGCTTTTGATGGTGTCGAAGTAGTACAAAACTTGAAGGACCAGCCACAGGGCAATGGATTTGCCATCCCCAGGTTCACCATGCTGAAGCATCAGGATGTTGGGGAATTTTCCTAAGATGCCTCCAAAACGGACTTGAACGGCGTTCAGGACCAGTGACAACATGATGAGAAGGTGCACAAAGGCGCAGCTCTGATGCAAGCTCGTGGCCCACGCTAGGGCCCCAGCGAACTGCCAAGAACAGGGCACAGTTTGGGCCATAGTCTCGGAAGGGAAAGGGCACATGGTCTCTAAGAGCTTTGTGGCTTGGCGCACATCTTTGCCATTCATGGTGCGCTCCTCAGGCATCGCTGGCGTGTATTTCCCTCTTTTCGCAGCACGTGCTCCACAAACCAAAGCCAAGCAGAGGAAGTGTCGAAGTGTGGACATCTTACAATGCGTGCACCGAGACAGAAACCTTGGATGCCTCCGTGAGGGCAGGGTGCTTTTGAGCAGAGCCGGCTCTTGCAGCAACTGAGTTTGGCTTTGGAGATGCATGTGTTCGTGGGGCACGTAATCAACAGATTTAAATATGCAATGTTCCTGGAGGACACCATCTTCAGTTTGACTCTTGGGATGTTGCCTACGTTGCAGAGCTGACTTGCACAGCTTTTGGGAAGCGCAAGCCTTGCGACAGTGCTGCATTCTGTCAGCATCAGCGCACCGTGCATCAAACCTGCTTCAGGGAGGCGCGGATCTGATGAGACAAAGGCCATTTACTGCCTGGTGACTCTTCCTATTCACGGCGCAAGACTCGACGCAACCAAAAAAACAAGTTGACTTTTATTTGGATTAATGCGATTTGAAGCAGGTAGCCCACTGCTGCATCACTTGCCCAACTTCTTTCCACCCAGCTTCGGCGATTCGCCCCAGGTGGCGCACCACGTCACATCATCAACATCATCATCATCATCATCAGCAGGAGCATCAGTGACATGTCCTTTGCGCCTTGTATACAGTTGGCCAGTGAAGGCTCCGAATGTCGCAGCGCTGCATACCTTGGCGCCGCGGATGGGTGACAAGCGGGGTACTATACACGTTCCCACAGGAACAGAGCACACACTTTAATTAGGCTTGATCATGATGGATATGTGTTAAAACGCTTTTCTATCTGATTTGCAAGTCAAATGGGGCGTTTAGAGGCAGATAAAGATGCCAATGCTGTCAGGGACCTTCTCCGCCTACCAAGTTGCTTCGCCTTGGCTCATGGGCAACGGGAATGCTAGACATTCTCATACAGGCAGTCGGTGGGCAAAAGACAGGGATTGCCATCCAGCAAAGATAGGGTAAAGACAGACAACACAGCTAAACCACTGGACCTGCGGGTTACGGCGAACCAGCTTGAATCTTTTCTTTTTTTAGAAATGCATGTTTTTTCCCTATGATATTCTCTTTCCCATACCGCCTCTTGGCAACACCTCGCAAAGAATAGAGAAAGCAACGCATCCCTCCAAAAGTCTTTGAGCAAGGATGGCACGTTGCTGAATTGAGTTTCTTCATTGCGTCGCGGAGTCAGACTGACCGGCTCCTTTGATGGCAAGAAACCGTTTGGATTGAGGGTACCACAAGGCAAACGTATGGTTGAACACAAATGATAGGGAACTCGTCGCGCCGCAGCCTTTCCCACATGCGGATGTGATTAGTTTGGGCAGGCGGGGAGGACCCCAAACTCAGCAAACATGACTTTGAAACATTTTGGACATGATTTGGAAGGAAGATGCAACTGTAAGAGCGGGCACCTGTACCCAACGGTCATGAATCCGATTCCTTGTCCACTGTTAAAGCCGGCAACCTTTCATCACAGGATGGTCAGTATGGACGTGCTCAAGTCCCAACTTCATTGCCCAAACGCTTGGATCATGGAACCCTTGGGGCCGGTCACTTCAACCCTTCACATCTTAATGCAGCCAGCAACTCCGAGTGGGCTGCCTTCTCGTCCGCCAACTGAAACCAAGCCAGAGGCTTTGCTGTCGCACCTTGGGCTTGGACCATGTACCTGGAAGGCAGGCGAGATGTGCAAAAAAATTGGGGCGCTTCAAATGGGAGCCTCAAACTGGCCACTGCCAGATTCAAATAGAACGTTACTATTGAATAACGATTCGCCACTCCAAACGTTGACATAGAACTTTTTGAGCAATTTACCGGGTATTGGCATTGGCTTGGAAACGCCCATATGTCAATGCATCACCGGTGTCTTAGAGTGATTACTGATTCGACACATTGCTTTCTTCCGTGTATCACGGTGTCTTGTTAGCATGACATCGTCAGGGTTTGCTTACAATGACGGAATTGGCGGGCCACGCGGGGAAGTCTGTCTTTCACAGCGCTCTTCCCCTCTGCTCAACGGCGCCCAGGTTCGGCCGCTGGTCGTGCACAATGAAAACCTGGAGGCATCAGAGCTGCCAGACATGACTGTCGCTGAATGAGGTGCGAAATCGCAAAGAAAAAGGAAGAGAAAGTTGAGGTTTCTGGGCTATCCTTGGAAGTGCATGAGGATCTGGCATGGAGATTACCTATTTTCAGAAGGTATTAAGAGATATGAAACATGTGAGGAACAAACGGCAAGAACAAAGAAGTCACGGGTAATGATTGCGTAGCAATTTTTACCCACTGCGAGTCTTGTCAGGATCATGCTGCATCTTGCCTTTGGCAAATCGTCTTCGCAAGCAGTCAGCCTCTGCCTCCAACCAAACATTGTGCTGCTGGAACAAGGTGCGCCAATAAATGGCAAAGCGACCAGGTGGCATCTCCAAGCTGGATTTGGTTCTTCCTGTGATCCAGCTGTTCAGCTGTTCGCACGCTTCAGTGTTTTTGTTTTTCAGCAGCGCCGCATTTTGCGGTGTGTCCGGGTTTGTCTGGGGAAGATTCTTCAAGCACCACGTATGATTGCGCTTGTGGAAGTGGTCCAGAACCAACCCCATTTGTGAAAAGTTGGTAGACCATGGCGGCCTGCTATCCTTCTTCTCTTGCACTGTTTTCCACAGCTTGCAAGCATTATCATAGGCAACGCAAGAAATGGAAACCCCACGCGTCTGCATGTCTTTGAGAAACTGAAGGAGAAAGACGTACACTAATTCCATTTGCTCCCCACGCCACATCTCGATGAAGTCGGCCAACAATCCGCAACTAAGCACACAAGTCAAAATGCCTCCTGTGGTTCGGCGGCGGCGGTGGGTATCTTTGTCGACTGTGCACTCAGTGGGCTCTAACTTGGCAGGCTTGGCAGGCAAACGTGGCTTCTTCTTGACACGCGCCTTCTTGGGCGCCAGAATGCTTGAACAAGATGCATCGTTTTTTCGCAGCCACCGAGCTTTTTGTCTCGAGCCCTTGGCTTTTGCAGCTTTTTTGTTGCGATGATCTGTCTTTTGTGGCAAAAGCCCTCTTTCAAAGGTCAAGAGCAAATCTTTTCGCACCTCTTGGCGCGGCAGAAGCAATTCCACTACCTGCGAGGCATCAGAAGGATCTTTGCATTGCACGACGTACATGATCTCAAGGCCTTGGCCGTCAGCATCCTCGCGCTCTTCTGTGCCAAGCACGGAAAGCTGATGGGCAATGAGGTGGTCATGTTCGGGCAAGTGGCGGCATGCAGAGCAATGCTGGTGCTTTGCGTGCGCAAAGTTGGTGCAGCCAGAAGCGAATTCTACGCCAAGGTCTGGGAAGGATACTGTACCATCTGTGCCTGTCATGGCCAGCGGGGGGGAGGAGGGCGGAGCTACAGTACTTGCAGGTTTCTAGAAAACTGTATGAGAAAAATGGGTATGCTTAAGCTGCTTTGGAACCTCACACCCAGGACGCCGAGTCTTCGGGACCTATGTTTGTCAAAGAGCGGGTATAGGTCCAGAGAAAGAAAAGTCTCAAGCCAAAGTCAGATTTTTTTAGGGGTCGCTGGCGAACTTTATTGTAGCTCACCCACACACAAAAACCAGGGAAGAAATTAAGAGAAGCCGGCACCGGGTGTACACTCTGTCCTGGCCTGCGCAAATCAGTCGCCGAGCGCCAGCCTTCCCATCCACAATGAAGCAAGGATTGTCATGACAGCGAGGGCATGCTTTGATATGGGCCGCAACCCAATCTAAATGCTGCTCTCGGATGGCCGCTGTATGCGCTAACAAGGAAGCGTCGAAGCCGGCTGGGGTCATATCCCAAACAATAGGCTCAGCTAGCTGGCCTGCCATGTCAAAGGCCCTCCAAGAATACCAAGCGGACAACAAGTTGCTGATGGTATGCGGCAGCTGAGTTCTGTCTGGGCCCAAGAGCAAATCCTGCTGCCAAGCCTCTGAATGACGCATGGCCCATACCAAGACTGCAGCCTTCATCGACCCTCCGCTGAAATGCAAGCTGTCAGTGAGGTGTTTGAGAAGTGCTATTTCAACCGCAAAGAAGCTCCGGTAGCGAGGTATAATGAAAAAGCCATCTGCGGCGGATGACTGACATTGCAAATTTGATATATGCCCGTAGCCAGACTGTTGCCGCTTGAAAGACCAATTCCCCAAGAAGTACTTGCGGCAAGCCGGGCACTGCTGCTCCACAAAATCCGCCCACAAGAGGCCTGCGTTCAAAGAGTAGACCTTGTAGCGATTGCTACTATGTCCTCCGAGACGCAGCCGCATTGTTTGCAATGGTGGCTTCGGCAGCTGGGGCTTTCTCCCGAAGATCATGGCCGCAAGGACATTGGGACCTGGCACTGGACACCCGCACCACAGGGAGCGTCGGGCAATCCTTTTGCAAGTCTTTGAGAGAGGACAACAGTGGCGCCACAGTGCGCTGTCCG